AATGCACATGCTGCGGGAAAGATAAGGAAACGGCGGAGCATGTTCTGATTGAATGTGGAGATATCCACCCAGGTGTACGTTTGGGCACGAGCCTACGGGAAGCCTTGGGTTTTAGGGACAACAATGGAAAGCTGAACACACCCGCGATTGAAATAAGTAAGAGACGGTTAGAGTATTGGTGGCAGAAAATTAGAGAGAAAGGACAAAAATAAATATTGGAAAAATAAAATATGGACAGTGTGCCGTAAATGTCAGAGAACCTAAGCTGAAAATTTACCTTTTTTTCCATTAAGATAGAATTTATCGAAGTAGAGGCATTAGGCCAACATAAAAAAAGAAAAAAGGTTTTTTTTTTTTTTTGTCGAGCCTGGTGGCATACTTGTCACCACCCCGTTATAAAGGGGACGCTCATAGCATCCATCCATCCATCCAGCGCTAGAAATGACGGGATTACCGACCGTTTTTGAATAGTGCTAGATCCCAGTGATATAAATCAATAATAAAAGTGATAGTTATTTTTCCCTCAGTTGCGTTTTAGGTCGTGAATCGCTGCAACGGAGTCTATAGCTACTCGCCGACGCAAAAATCTTGGCATGAGTAAATTTGATGTCAGTGCTCCTTTAAGCTCCGCGCGGCTAAGGTTCTGTGAACTTTTCCAGTGAATCACACATGTGCCACACAAATTGGACAAGCACGCCCTCTAGGCACAGGCCGGCTGAAAATGAAGGGAACACATGGTAGAAAACACGTATGGTCCACAAGATGCCAAGTGCATGGGACAAGCCAGACAATGCATGTCGCAAAAAAGGATAATGCACGAAACTGCACAAGTACGATGCTGCCGAGGAAAACCTCTAAACAGCATGTGCTTAATTCAAGGCTTGTTGAACAGAACCAATATATATATATATATGGTTGCAGGGTACATGTCGAATGTTTTGAGACTCGCTGCAACTGCCATGTCCTGTGCTGAACGGCTCACTGGTTTTATGGTGCATTCAGACGACGGACCGAATCCGGATTTGTCGTGGACGCGGACAGCTAATCCGCGGATGGTCCGCCTGCAGGCGCATCCACACGACGGACGGTGTCCTAGGGGAAAACAGCCGGATTACCCTCGACAGCAGATTCGGCCTGGCAGCAGACCGATTTGAGAGTATTCAACATAAATGCCCGCAAGAAGCGAAGCTTGGCTGCGATGTCTGTCGTGTTGTGACAAATGAACGAGTAGTGTTATTCTTTCAGGAGAAAAGGGAGTTGCTAGCAGGATATTCTTTCAACTACATTATTCCCCACTTGTAGAACTTCTAAACGTGTCTCCCGCTTTTTTTTTTTAGAAGCGGCACGTCGCTGGTTGCAGAGAGAGAGAAAACTTTATTAGAACTTGGCCGGCAGCTTGGTCTTGGTGGCCTCAGATGGCGGCGCTGAGTCCCTGAACTCGGGCGGCATCTTCGGCCTGCCGGACAGCCCAGAGCTGGTCGTTGAGCTCCGAGCTTCTGAGCGCCGCCTCCCAGCGGCGGCGTCGCCGACGGAGAAGGTCCCCCGCGGCTCCCGCAGACGGGACGGCGGCGGGAACGAGTGAGCTCGAGGCTTCCTGTTGCCTGGTATTGGCAGCCGCCATAGGCGCATCGCGAACGGCGGCCGTTTCTCGACCATTGTTATCGGCGCATTCCCAGAGCATGTGGCGCAGCGTTGCTCTGTGCCCGCATGCTTTACATAGATCGGTAATGTGTAAGTGCGGGTAGCAGTGGCGTAAGACGACCGGGCTGGGGTAAGAGTGGGTTTGTAGTAAGCGATAGCTTACGGCATTGTGTCTGTTTAATTTGTCATGCGGTGGCGGGAACTTTCGCCTTTCAAGTCTGTAGTGTTGCGTAATATCTCGGAACGTGATGAGACGATCACCCCACGACCATTGTGGTCTGTGTTGTCGCTGCGGGTCTGTCAAAGTGTCTCGATCCGGCAGATCAGAAGCCCCGTTCTCGGGAGCGGAGGCGGCGGCCACGGAATGTGCCGCGGCTCGGCGAGTGAGACCTCGAGCCGCGGCGTGGGCCGCCTCGTTGCCCGGAAGCGGGACATCGGTGTGTGCCGGGGTCCAAAGGAGGAAGACTGTTAAATTTTGTTGTGGCGATCGCGACGCTGAGTCACCATCACCGCACCTCTTAAGGATGCGGGCCGCTTCCCGCGAGACGCGGCCGCGCGCGAAGCCGCGGATTGCTGCCTGCGAGTCGCTGATTACGATCGTAGCGTTCGGCACCGTGGCGATTGCTAGGGCTATCGCGGCTTCTTCGGCCACCGCCGTATGTCCCGTGGTCACCGTGGCGCTCGCGAGGCATTTGCCCGCACGGTCAACGACCGCAGCGGCGTGTGCGTGTCTCCCGTCCCCATATCTCGCGGCATCTACGTACACAACTTCGTCGCTAGTGCCGTACTTCTTTTGAAGGTCACTAGCTCGCTGGTTACGGCGCCCGACGTGGTGCGTCGGGTGCATATTCTTAGGAAGCGGCGGAACAATTAGGCGGTCGTGAACCGAGGCAGGAACATCCGCTTTTTCTCCCTGCTGAGTGTGGTACCGGATGCCAAGTGACTCGAGGATGTGTCGACCCGTCTTAGACCCCGACAAGCGTTCGTTTTGCGAAACGACATGGGCCTCAATTAACTCGTCGAGTGAGTTGTGCAGTCCAAGTTCTAGTAACTTTTCAGTGCTCGCATTCAGTGGAACTCCAATTGCTCTCTTGAAAGCCTTTCGTATTATACATTCGATCTTGTTTTTTTCTGAGCCTAGCAATTTGAGGTAGGGGGCAACGTATGTTATACGGCTTATTGCGTACGCCTGCACTAGACGGATCGCGCAGTGTTCGCGCATACCAGTACGTCTGTTCGTGATACGACGTAGGAGTCGGATCGTGTCGTCTACCGAACTACGTAGTCTTCGCACCGTCTCACCATTATGGCCGTTTGCCTGCAGGTGTAACCCCAGAATTCTAATTTTGTCTACGTGTGGAATGGGAGTGCCATCTGCCAATAGAACGCTTATTTTGTAGCACTCCCTTTCCTCGTCGCGCGGGGTTTTGCGACCTCTACTTGTAGGTTTGTAGATTAGAAGTTCCGACTTGGTTGCCGAGCATTCGAGGCCCGTTCCTCGCAAGTACTCCTGAACTTCGTCTACACCTGCCTGGAGCGTACGCTCGACGTGACCATCACAACCTCCGCCGGGAACCCAGAGGGTGATGTCATCCGCGTAGATACTGTGATACAATCCTTGTATGCCTAATAATTTCTCGGGTAGCCCCAATAGAACTAAATTAAAGAGTAATGGTTGCAGAAGTTGGAATATTTCACCACCATGACGGCTAAAAATCTCGCGTGTTAAGCGACGGCGGCGACATTTCCCGAACCACCAAAAGTGATTTCTGCATATTTAATCACCCGAGAACAAAGTCTCCGGAAGCTAAGTAAACAATGCTCAAGCGTAGATGATGCCGACCAGTCATGCAGCTGTCCGCGAGCCATGGAGGACATGCCGCGAGCAGACAAAGTGTATTTATTGGTTGCCACCGACCCCAAGCTATTCCGCTGAAGTACCGGCTCTCCCCCGCCAGAATCCCGATGTGAGAAACAGGTTGGGTTCATCCACGGAGGGTTCATCCGTCCGCGAGCCGCGCGGACGAGGGGAATCGCTGATGTGAGGTCACGTGACGCGCCGTCCGTCCCGCCACATCGGGATTCGATCCGTCGTCTGAATGCAACATTATCTACATTCACAAAGTGGAGTGGCCAACAGGTTTGTTCTGTAGCACAATCACATAAATGGAGCAGTAAGCAGCCGAGTGCTATTCGCAGCCCAAGCCAAGAGGAAAAGAAGTTATGAAATGAAAACAAACTTACCTGGTGTGTTAAGAACTTCTGCAGAAGTGTGCCGTTGTAGGGTATTTTTTAATCTTGCATCGCCAAGAATTTATACATGCGACACAGACTAGGGTTTGCATTAGGTAAAATTTCACACAGGAAACATATCCGATAGAAGTATGTTAGTTGTACAAATGCACTCTGGGCCATTAATATTTTCAAACAAGTTATTCTAGTATTCCTTATATGGGATGCATTTAAGCATAACAAGTCAACATGTGCATATAAGTAGGTTACTTGATGTACTTAGTCTTACAATTGTCACAACACTGCTCCAATGATTTGCGGTCGCCAAACTTTCGCAGCACTTACACAAATAAAATAACAGAAATGCTGATTAGCAATAATGCACTATGCTGTACTCCCCCCTCCTCCCAAATTCTCCCCCCCTTTTTTGCCCTTGTTTAAGCAAACAAACTGTAGGCCTAGATATAGGGTCTTTAATTTCATACCAGGCCAGAGTACTCATCCTGAGGGCAAGTAGTGCCATAGATAGGTTGAACTTACCTCTTGAATGACTCCTGCAAAACCATGAACTCATTAGGAAACTCTTATAGGAGCATTACAATTCAGCAATTTCATGCAGTTTTGAGAGAGCAAGTACCATTATAATAGTGAGTGGAAATAATTCACGAGCCATGCGAGTGTCTGAAGGCTGGCTGGGCTTTGGAACTAGGTTGCACAAACTTCCTTTTTGACAATTTGTCATAGATCAACACCACATTACAACACGGCAGCGAAACTTGGCATTCAGGGTTGGTTAAATGCACTTCTTGGTTTTTCCATGTGACATATTTAAATATGTATTTATATACCTTATAGGGTACCCAAAACTAACTGGACTAGTGCTGCGACGAGCAGAGCGTGAATAGCATGATGTACTCCCACAGGTGAGCATCAAGGTCATAGAATTTTTGTTTTGAAAAGAAAGATGGGGCTTGATGTGCCACCCCCTAGTTAGGACGCCACTAGTGAGCACCACACTTCTCAAGCGCAAATTGTAATTGGAGACTTTGTCCAGTGCAGCATTTTCCGGAGTAACCCCTCTCCCTCCACATATTTTGGCTTGTCCACCTCGTACACACAGAACATTCTGCCAGACCAATATACTGATATTTCATTTGAGAGTACAATAAACAAAGCACGTTAGCATTCACACACACAAAAAAAGTTATCTTCTCATGACAGTGAAGATAGTGTGGTCTGATGTCAGCTACTTGGGGTGTTCAAGCAGTGCAACAACTTAAGATTACAATAAATGCAGCCGTTGTACTGTACAAGTTCTTTGTTCTTAGACGAATTATTAAGTGCACAGAACTGAGGCAATAGGTTTTTACCAAGGCACAACAACCTTTCATGGTAACACTGTAGTACCTGTAATAACAGTTACACAACTTTAATCAGTAAGAGTGATTATCAAAGGTACGATGCACTCAAGCTCGAACGAATCAGTGAAGAGCAGGAGAAGTTATCTAGTATATCTTGGAGCTCAGTACCCTGATCTTTAACAAACAAGCAAAGAGCCAAAACCTGCCATGCTTTGGAAGATCGATTTCAAAGTGATCCAAACTTTTGCTCTAAAGTTATCACTCATGACCAGTCGTTCTACTATTCTTGGAATCCAGGAGAAATATTGCACATATGCACATGATTCACTAAAAGTGGCCATCAAAAACAAAACAAAAAAACAAGCACATGATAGATGTTTCCGCATGCGCGCACACACACAAATAGTATCCAAGGATAGGAAAAGCTACCTAGAAGAATCCACTGCATGCAATTAACTCGAAATGTGAGGTACGATGCTCACACAGCAGAATTGTGCACTGCGATAGGTCTGCCCAGCGTAGCGCTAGTCCACTACCTTTTATGTGCTGTTATTGCCAGCAGCTCTTCGATGTGCCAAAAAATATCCAGCAGGTCCCATTTAAACAATGCTCAGATTCATGTAATTATGCAAGATTACCGTGTGGTGCTTTGCATAGCAAATATGTGGCATATTGCTGAATGTTGGCTGTGGAAGAAGTTTCCTTGCATGTTTGGCGCATGCAGCAGCATTTTGAGGTATGTTCCGCTGTCCAGAGAAGCTCCAAACAATGCTGTTTTTGATGAGACTGAAAGGTTCACAGGTATATTGCAGAGCATTTTCTTAGAAACAGTACACCTGAGTAGACCTAGTGCTTGCATTTATTAATTTATACACCCAGCAGTCCAAATCATACTTTGCAGGTTACCAAAAATATTGAATAATGAGGGAAAGGCAGAGTACGTGCTGCTGCAAAACATACACAATCTCGGGCACAAAATTGGGGAAGACAAATAATCGATGCAAATAAACTTAGAGAGGGGTAGTGAAGGAGGTCCATGGCATGGGCACTGAATGACACGGAAGATAACAGCAAAATACAACCCCCGTGACGGCAGGAGACGGCCCAGGGAGGCTCCGAGAAAAAAACTTAAGGCACTTGGACTGACAAAAAATGCGCTGAGAGAGAGAGTGAGGTCTCTTGTACGCCCAGTGCGGTCATCGCAAAAATATATCCTCCAATAATAACATGCCCACCAAGCTCTCTCTCCCTCTATCCCTCTGCACGCAACAGAAGTAGTTAAGCGCCCAAAAATCTCGGACTCCCTTGCCTGTGCTCGCCCGTGCTGTGCAGCTACGCTCAACTCTGCCCCTATTGGTGAGCTACACCCCTCCCTCTTTCAATGTCAGAGAAAGCTTCAGGAAAAAAAAAATAGGGGGGGGGGGGGGGGGGGGAGTGAGAAGGAAAAGCGACTATTTACAAACAATCTGAACATTTCGTTCGTCAGTTGCCATCCTCCTATCTAGGCTTCAGTGGAGGCCGGTCAAAGAAAGTTACATTTTGCCTTTAGGGCCATTTGCCAAAACACTTCTTGCTTTTGTCACACACAATTGAAAATAATAATAATAATAATAAGGCCCTAATGGCTGTCTTCTGCCTTTCCCTAACTCTGTCTTGACTAGGCCCTTTCATCAAGCGTCAAAAACACCATCTCCCATATTAGGAAAAAAAAAAAAAAAAACAAGACCATACAAACATTACTAAACCAAATGAGCACAATAAACACACTCTGAACATGGGAGAGGGAAGGAAAATGAAATCCGCAGATGAAATGGCAGCAAACCCGCATTTGTTGCTGCACTAGGCACACCAAAATGAGAGAACAGAACATAAGAAAAACTTGCAGTGCGCTTGCTTTATGCCTGATTTTGTGGACCTCTTCACAAATTTGAGGCGACAGATGAAATACATTCATACCCGCAAGGAAAAGAACTGCAATAATCAAGAATAAAGGAAAAGAAAGAACCCTTAGGGCTGACCAACTGTATGTGCAAGCTTCCCAAAACGCCCTGCTGGCATAGCACACTCCACTCAATCTGAAAATTGCACTGCACACTTTCTCTCAACATTAGCCTTTGCTCACACCCTGGTCTCGATTCACATTGAAGCCTGCCTGTGCAAACTTGTCACCATAAGCTGTAGTAAAAATCAAAATCCTACATGGCAGGCAATTTTTTTTTTCTCTTGAACTGGCTTTTTATGTTTTCATTTTCATAGCCGGCTATAGTGCATTGGTACCGCAACATTGCATAACATGCTGCAAGCTAAGCATACATTCGTTGAGAAACCAGGTGGTACTAATGCGAGAGAGAACATGCACTGCGACATCAGCCGTGGCAACACCGTGTTACAAAGAACTTTGCGAGCGAACAGTTTTTTGTTTACAAAAAGACAAAAAATAATGGGGCAGGCACCTCGCACCACGGTTGCCAGTAAACACAGCTTTGACGACAGAAATATCCCGCAGACAAGCTCACACAGGAGACGGAAGACCGCCAGGAAAACAAACGGGAAGCATGCGAGATGCGCACTTAATGGGCAGCATGCCGCAAATATGTGACACAGCTCGTTATGCTGTGCAGGTGGGCACCACCACTTTGGAACATCTAGGTGCCTCTGGATGTTGTTCGTAACAATTGGCTTTCAAAGATTATACAAACACAGACAATAACATATAAAGAAAAAAAAAAAAGCTATCCACTCCGTTGTTTTGAATGGTAGTAACACTCCTACAAGAACAGTGCTGGAGAACACCAATGGCCTACCTGCCATCATGTCGGGTCTCTTATGTGATCACAAATAAAAATAAGGAAAGAAAGAAAGGAAAAAAAAAAAATGCCCCAAGAGGGCAGGGCAGGCTTTTCGTGAAGTGCCAGTGTTGTCTCGTCACTAGCCCTACCCTGGGCAGCCCCTTTTAGAGAAGTCGGCCATGCCTTCACGCAGTCCTTTGCCGATTGGCCACTGCCCAGCACGCGTGAAGTCTTGTAGCACGTATGTTGTTATCATGCTGGTTGCGGCGGAGCCCGTGGTGAGTGGGTGGAAGGTGCTGTGGTCCGTCACCTACCACCCTTGCATATTGGCCAGCAGCAAGCAAGGCCGTTGGTACCTTCCTCTTGGGAAAAGCCTCGTGGTGTAGCCACACATGGCTTCCAAGCACACCATCAGCAACATTTTGGAACAGGAACAAAAGTGCTCCTCCCATGCGGACACTGAAGGTCTCGCACAGCGAGGAGGAGCAATGTTCTTTCATCCGGACCGACCGTGAGGTGATTGGTAGGAGGCGGGCAGTGTGCGCGTGCGCGACGTGAATGGAGAGACAAGAGTCATAAAATCAACAAATACTGTCGTCACTTGCACAGCACAGTACCCTTTTTGGGAGCCACTACCTCCTGCCGAGGCCGTTTTGGCAAATGATGTCCTTGGCACCTCGCGTGGTGGCGAGGATAAGCGTTGTGGCTGCGAGGGCCACACATCAAGCCTTGCACAGTTAATGGGCATCTTCACTTGGTGGGCTGCGGTGTCTGTGGGAGCCAGCGGCTGCAGATCGACGGTCGCGCGAGTGCGCACGGGGCTCCATCCTCCGGCCAGGGCCCCTCTGCGGCTGACCCACTGGTGCTTGCTCTGGCCGCTGGCCATGACCTGCAAAGAAGGGTCATTCATTCACCCTCAACACCATGATTTAATAGTAAACAAAATCTCGAGGTGCAGCTTACATAGCCTGCTTATAACGCAAGTCGCCAGAGCCACGAGTATCTGCATTATAAAGGGTATCGCAGTGCAGTCAAACACGGACTTACTGAACTCAAAGGAGATTGCAAATTGGTTCGATATATGAAAAATTTGATAGAGTATAACCAACAATAGGCACATTCTAAATGACAACTGATTCCGCACACACGCGACAGCAGAATGTTTTATTTGCATGAAAAAAAAAAAAAAAGCTTATCTGGGCCTGCTCCTCAGTTTTCGAAATGAAGTTGAAAACGCGTCTCGATCTTATCCAGGCTTTCCAGGTGCGACAATCCTGTTCTCTCCTTGTCGTCGAAATAACGACGAATTACGCCATCGCCATTTTAGTAGTGGATTCACGCGTGTGTAGCCACAGTATCCTCCTCGTCACTTCATCTCTCGGCCTGGGCATGCTGGGTGTCCCTACGACCGCAGCTACAATGTCCTCATCAGCGAGGCTCGCAACGGCCTGAACATTGCAGTGCGCTCACAAAATCGTTTGCAGACGCTACGGGTGGAACGGCTGCTGGGAAGAGGGACAACTCGCGAAATGCGTCTATGTGCTCGTCGTTGCGGTCTTCACTGGTTTGCGAGTTCAGCCGTCTCGAAGCCTGCCTTGAGAAAGCAGTTGACCACTGTGTCAGTCTTCACGTCTCGCCAGGCACCTGTGATTATTTGAATGGCACCAAGAAGGTCAACCTTCAGCTCAGTGCCCATGCGGAGGTTGACAAGCAGCTTAGCAAGGAGTCGCCTGCTATAGTCATTCCTTGAACAGCTGATGCGTCATCTACGCCTTCTTGTTCGAGGCGTAGTGGACGGGGAGCTGCTCACAGTTCACGATGCCCTTGCTTTCTCAATCACAAAGGGCTGGAGCTTCCAAGACCTATCATTGCTGGCTCCAACAGAACGCTCAGGCGAACTTTACTCATTTTGCCCCCAGACACGTACCGTATTTACTCGATTCTACCGCGCCCTCGATTGTAACGCGCACCCGATTTCCACCGCGGGGAAAAAAAAAAAAAAGTGAGACATCGATTGCAACGCGCACCCATTTTTTCTCGTTGGCCTGCACGATCACACCACTCGAAAAAACGACTCCTTTCGGGAGCGTCTTCCATTTAAATATGAGGTACGGGCGAAGCTTGTGTCCATCTGACGTGTAACAGAGCTTTCCGTCACGGTAGTTTTACCGTGGACCGATGTCAGCACGCGAACTTGCTTCGCCCCCTTCTTCTCGACGGTTGTGGTGCCAGGCATGTCGAAGTAAAGAGGCGTCTGATCGGCATTCCCGATTTGCCCAAGCAGGTAGCCGTTGTTGCGCCGCAAGTTTAGGACGAACCTCTGAAAACTGTGAAGCTCTTCATCGTACTCCTCCGCAAAACTTTTTGCATATGCACTGTTCCCCTTCGGAGGTAAAAGCCTTTCCTTTTCATAAAGTTAGTTAGCCAGCACCTGCTCGCTTTAAACTGGCTCCGCATTAGACCTTTTTCCAAGACTAATTGCATAGCCCGCACTTGGAGTTCTGTCGTCACGGGCCGCTGTGCCGCTCGCTGCTCAAGCACATACTCGCCGAGCAGCTCTTTAATTTGCGCAAACCGACCCTGCTGTGGTCCCCTGAAGCCTTTGCGTGAAGCTTTGCTGTCGACAATCTTCTGCTTTTGTTTCCGCCGGTCCCGCACGCACGTTTCGGGAACTCCGAACGACCGCGATGCGGCCCGATTTCCGTCAGTTTCGGCACACGCGATGACTTTTCTTTTAAAAGCGGCATCGTGGTGCACTTGAGTTTTTGGAATCGGCCCTTCCAAGCCGTCGATGCTAATGCACTACTAGATGACGAACTCCTCAGCACACGTACAAAGTGCCGCACATGAGAAACACATAGGCAGAAATGGGCGACGCGCCATGCCGACGCACATAGGGGGCGGCCATTTTGGATTTGCCGATGGCAATAGATTGACCCACGACCTCCTCTATGTGGATTGACCGCAATTTTTTGGTTCGTACTCGATTCTAACGCGCATGCGATTTATGAACTCGCTTAACCGGAAAAAAGGTGCGCGTTAGATTCGAGTAATTACGGTACTATCTCAAATGTCGAGTCTTGCTCGGCAACATTTGCCAAAAGAGACCAGTCTCATCGACGTTGAAGATCTCCACAGGAGAAAACTTAGCAGAGATTTCCAGCCACTCCTCCGTCACCCACTGTTGGATGTCCTGGCTGCTGACGGCTTCGCTTTCACCAATGATAAACTTTAATCGTAGCAACGAGATCTACTGTATTGACATGCAGCCTCTGAAAGAGTACGACAATGATTTGGTGCTGCATACTACAGGCTGATGTGACTGAAGAGCAGGACGCTGGCATCATCCAGGCGACGGGGAAGGAGAGCTTTTGCGAGGCTTCTTGACAAAGCACAAGGTTTATTAACATTTTTACAACAGTTCAATAGACTAGGCGTCGAGACGCACCTTTACATGAGACATGACAAGCCCAAGCGAAGGCCAGAGAGAGAGCACTGAGCGAACACTTGACGCGCTTTTGATACACTCGTCCGTGCAAGCGCTTCTTATCGAACGCCGACTGCGCGTCTCAGTGACCACGATGCGCGTTCGAAGTGGCGCACACAGACGCCTCTTGCGTTGCTGCAGGACGCAGACCGCGTTGGCAGGGCTCACCTATGACTGTCTCTTGCAGGGCTATTGTCCTTGCTCTGCCAGTCATAACAAGGCATACTGCATGCAAATCACTGCTGTAAAGCAAACCACCTGGTGTCGCGCTTGAATAAACGCAGTCATACTTCTACTGCGCTAAATTTTTTTTTTTGATTACATCATCAACTAGCGACGAAGCTCTGTGTTTTTTGCTGCAGATGGAAATCTGTGCCATCTGAAAACAGCGCACTGTCAGTCACAATTCCCGCATCGCGTTTTGATCTTGACAGGAAGTGCTGAGTGAAATCTTCCTTTTGTGCTGATTGATTCTCCATTGAAAGATGGTGAAGCGGTGCCCAGACCACTTCTTGTAAGCGGGAGTGGTGTGAATAGGCACTTTATTTTATTTCAATATGCCAGAGATGCTCTGCATGCGTGTATCTCTGGTGCTATGTTATCTTGGCACCCGAGATACACACGCAGTTCGAAACAAGATACAGCCAAACCACTTTACAAGAGACACTGATGTAAGGACACCAGTGTTCCTACAGCAAAATAGGGGTTGATAAGAAAATGCATATGAGGTACCCTGCTTATAAGAGGAAATTGCTGCCCAGAGCATTTCTCTTATAAAGGGGTTGAACTGTAGCATCTGCGCGTGCCGATTGTTTTTGCATCCAAAAAAAGCGTAGACAACTTCTTGTAAGCAGGAGCAGCATGAATAAGCACTTTTTCACATTTTAAAATTTCAGAGATGCCGCTTGCCATCCATAGATACACGCCTTAGCAGTTCAAAACAAGATGGCATCTGTGTGCCCGGCAACTGGAAAAAAGCGCTCACTCGAGTTCCGAAGACCTGGCTTTGTGGGCTCCTTAGGTTGCTCAGGCACAGCTTGCGTCGCAGCTCTACTTTTGGCCATGGCAGCCACTTCCGAATAGGTCAGCTTGCGACCTCCCTCTTCAGCAACTGCTGCAGTCTTCTGAGTGACCTGTCAACATCATTTTTATTAACGCAGAGGCAGGCACTAGAATAGGGAACTCATGTACGTGAGTGTTGGCACCTAAGATCTATCAAAGAAGCTATGGTGAAACCTCAATTATAGTTTAAGATCATATAATAGGTCGAATTCCAAGCAAAAAATAACTTGTTCCAGACTAAATCTCCGTAGAAATAATGTGCTGAAAATGTCGATCACACTACTGAATGGGGATATGGAGGACAGCAAGACAAAAATGCCCAAATGATTCTAGCAACAACATTCGGAGTAGACATTATATAAGTGGTCATTAAGAAAGTAAATCCGGATCAAAAATGATACGTAGAACTTAGATCAAAGAAAGAACAGTGAAACCTCGTTAATTCGAACTCGGTTATTTCGAAATCCCGCTTCATTCGAAGGATTTTTGCGGTCTGGTATTTTTCAATGCAAGTTTGAGCAGATAATTTGAAGCAGCGGCCGGCACCAGACGGGTTCATTCGATAACTTAGGTTGCCATGTGCCGTTTCTACATCCATATTTCGCAGTGAATCCACGGTACGACGGCATTAATTGCCACAAGGCAATACAACGTATTGATACTAATGAGTAGTAGCTGAAGCACCCCAATCTTGCTACTTTTGGTGCAAAAAAAAACAAACAAACAAAAAAAAAGGTCTTGTGGTCAACCAAAACATGAGCCTGCAGAAAACGAGCCATGCTTCACTGCAACACGGCGGTGACACGCCAGCAGCTTATCGCATGTTTCTCTCAACGTCAGCGGGTTATGGTTTACCCATTCTTTCTGGGATCAATAAAGAACAGTTTAGCTGAAATCGCGATGTATGTGAACCTCCAATCGCCAGTTGCTCCAGCAATTCATGTCTTTGCGCTGCTGGCAGGCTTCTTGCCAGCAACACCTACTTCGAAAACAATGTTCGAAAGTTTCGAAGATCATTTTGTCCAGCTAAATCACATCGTGAGCTTCATCCATCATACTGGCCATTACTAAATTCATAATTATAATAAAAAGATGGTAGAATCATGACGTGCTGACGCAGCGAGGAGGAGGCAACATGCTGACCGCGTGTCACTACTGTTTTGCAGTGAAGATGTTTGGTTTTCTGCAGGCGCACACTTTAGTCGATCCCTACCGCGTTTTCGTTTTTTTTTTCAGTGGCAGCAGCGAGTCCTCTGTTCCTTTATGTTCGTGGCAAAATAAAGACCAGGTACTGCTAGAAAACATGACCTTTGGAGCCACAAGCTAGCTGCCACAGCAAGCTACGAGCACCGATTACTATGAATAGCTATAAGTTCTTTGCATTACACTTTTTGTGTATTCTGTTAATTCGAAAACCCGTTTGATTCGAAGCTTTCTTGCAGCCCCAAAGACTTCGAATTAACGAGGCTTTATTGTATCAACAATAGAACTGTTTCTGCCACTACGTCATGGCGCTCTTTGGCCCTTGTGCCTTTGGATATCGAAACCACGCAATAAAATACGACACCTACAGCAGTGGACACAGACTGTGCGGTAGCTGTTGCAGCTGGTGTTGGTACTGTTGGTGCCGTTGCAGTAGGAGCAGCCGGAGTTGAATTCACAACAGGGGTAATGGTAGCAGTAACTGCCTCTTCAGTGGGCACTGGGCTTTGAACCCTCGCGGGGACCTCCACTTCCTGAGAAGAACCTTCACGCCTGCAATTGGGAATGGCTCTGAGTTGCATGCACATTGCTAACAGCACTGGAAAGTACAGCATATTCTCAGTAAACGGGTACCTGTTAAATACCGTATTTACTCGCGTAATGATCGCACACGCATAATGATCGCACCCCTAAATTTTGTTGGCTAAATTCGACTTTTTTTCCCCGCGTAATGATCGCACCCTGAACTTGCCGCATCGACATGTCATGTGCCAAGTCTAGCTGAATGCACCTATCATTGTTTCTATGATCTGAAAGCGGGCATCACTATGCTAATGCCATAAATATACAGATTTAAATGAAAGCATTCCTTATTTAGATGGAAGAAACTGTTTCGACGCGTGTGACGTACTCACAACCTCCATGACTGACGCAAAGAAGAAAAAAAATACGGCGGCTTCGCTTCACGGAGTGCTTCGCTCTGTCAGCCGCCATGTTCCTTTGACATCCCGCACTGTTACAGAGGCGGCCGCCTGTTGGTCGACCTGTGTTCATCCCGCAGCAATGTCCCCCCCCCCCCCCCCCCCGAGACCACATTTTGTGTGTGTGTGTGCGTGTGTGTCTGCTTTGTGATGGTCTGTTGAAGAACCGTTTCAAGAAACATGGGGCAATATGTGGGCTTTTATGCCGCGTTCAAGCTGAAGGCACTTGACTACGCGCTAGAGCACGGCAACTGCGCTGCCGGCAGACATTTCGGCGCCGACAAAATCCGGATTCGATATTGGGAAAAAACAGCGCGACAGGCTGATGGCTACTAACAGCACGCAATGGCCTTTCCGTGGACCCAAATGTGGCAAGTTCCCTGACATTGAAAAGGCAGTCCTCGAATACATGAAGGACATGCGCAAGGACGGTTATGCAGTGTCATTAGACATGATACGGACGCAGACGTGCACAGTTTCCCGGAGTCTGGGAATAGCCACAAAGCACTTCCGCGCCATTTCCGGCTGGACGACGCGCTTCATGCGGCAGAATGGACTGTCACTGGCATTTCTAAAGCGCTTGACGGAATGGAAGACGAGTCTCTGTGGGACAGGGAATTGTGCGGCGACGACACTGACACCAGTGATGCTTCGGAGTCTGAATGAACGTTAAAGGGTCAGAGAGGTAAAAAATAAAAGGGCAGTGTGCCATGCATGTAGCTCCTGCGTAATGCGTGCATTTTATTACAAAAATAATCCTTAATTTACTTTTATTTTTGGTTATGTTCATGATAGCTACCGTAAGAATTCTGATTAGTGACTTTTTTGCGTTTCCGGTGCTCAGAATATTTTTTTCCCGGAAAATTTACCCCGCGTAATGATCACATCTCGAAGTTGGAGTCAATTTTTTGGAAAAAAAAAACAACAACAAAAAGTGCGATCATTGTGCGAGTATATGCGGTAAAGCTACTGCTTCATTAAATGGTATTGCCTCTGCTATGTGCATTGGTTTCGGGCTTGTATTCTTGTATTCTGCACCCATGTTCATCTATCACTTAGTGAATGGAACTGCTGTTACATGGAACATATTTTCCCAGTTCCTTGAGCTTCCATTTACTGAAAGTCTACAGTATACTGAAAGAGAGAGAGAGAGAGACACATAGTGCCCAGAGAGACACAAAGTGCCCAGTTGCATTTTACTGAGAGACTAAGCGAAATAAAAATGAGCAGTCTGAAACTCTCTTCACGATATATGGCTGAACAAGAGCCAATTACTTCTAGATGCTTGTTAAGAAATTATTTGCAGATCGTAAACTTAACCATGCACAGATACCTAGTGCCCCACAAATTACTGTTGCACTGGGGTGGTTTAAATCAGAAGGGGAATGCTTTACCTGAAGCTTTTTGCGATTTTATATATTATGGTGAAACTGATTGCTCTTTAAGTATATTTATGTATATATTTGAAATACCAACAAGTTGGTTTCCAGTAAGACGTGTATTTTTCAAAGTGTCAAACATTTTAGTAGTCTTTGTGGCGGCAAAATTTTTTTCCTGGACAGATAATTACAAAGTCGGCAAATCACAATTACCTAGGATGAAAACTGTATGCAACAAAACAAGATTGGGTGTTCCAAACCCAACTGAACAACAGTTAAGGCGTGTCGAACATTTGTGATCAAAATCCAGACTTGACGTGTGAATATTCTGCCAAAGGGCACTTCAGGATTGCCAGGTTGAGAAAAATCGAGCACGAGGAGACGTAAGGGCGCAAAGCCCACACTGCTGCACTAATCAAGCAATCACCTGTCCGTAACCTCAGACACTCACATGGCTGTGTTTGGAGACACAGGAGATGCGGGTGGAGTTAGCATTGTCGCTGGGAAGTCGCTGCCATTGGTCAGGGTGGCACTGTCCTTGGTGACGTGGGTCGATGCCAAATTGGCAGTGCTGGCAGCCACTGCAGGACTCAGGGCAGACTCTGCTGTTTGCGTTTTACAGTCACGCATGGGAGGTTTGGTCGAAGACGAGGCTCCTGGGGCTGCTGCGATTGTGGCCGACGTGGAAACGGGTGCGGCCGCTGGTAAGCATGGGCTGACAACAGCACTGTTGCTTAGTGTGCGGCTAGGGGCAGCACCACGAACTATGTCCGAGAGCCTGCTGTTGGCTGTCACTGCAGCGGGCGTCGTTAGAGCCAAAGAGCTTTCATCCAACACAGCTCCCTGGCCCAACGATTCCTCCTCCTGAAAGTTAATCCAAACGAAAAAACTTGACGAATCTTGTGTCATTGGATGAATTCGAGAACAACTTGCTCACCACCGAAACTATGCTACTCCAATGGAGCACTAAACTGCGTTCCAATGATGCGATGCCTATTTTCATTGGGAATCGTAGGCTGCACAAATGCGCACACACGTATTGGGGACAGCTGAACAAGCTTGTTTTGCCAATTTTTCCTAGCAGTGTTTTGTAATACTGCTCTACCATGACCATGAGCTCTTTGTGCGAGGGAGATGAATTGCTTCACAGTCTTATAATGAAGAGCTCTACAACAACAAACTTTCTTCAGATGCCTAAGTATGCTTACTAATTAAGATGCACAGATACTTTAGAAACCTCCAAGGGTATTTTAAGGCTAATGCACACTGGCAACTATTTAAGGCTAATGCACACTGACAACTAGCAGCGGTCACGCGACCATTTGCTACTGGTCCCAAGCAGTCACGAATGGTCGCAAAGAGACTGCTTTGAGCCGGTGTGCACCAACCTTTACAGTAAAACCATAGCAAACCCTACTAGACAAAATGATCAATTAAGTTGCGAACGACATTCGGTGCAGTTTTTCCAATGTCCCAGCAGCGGTAAACCAGGTGTTCCGGGCAGAAGTGGCCGGATGGAACACCAACGATGCTTGACCGTGGTTTTCACTGTTGCACCCATTTACGAGCAATGAGTGCAATGGCATCCTCACTGCAGATACCTAAGGTGCATTAAGATTCCAGGGAAACACTGTTTTGTTGATGCAAGTGCATCAGGGTTTGCCTGTACAGCACTTCAGTGAAAGTGAGAATATACACACAGAAATCCTCATCAATTTGAATTCCCATGGTCCGCATTTCCATCCCCACGTCTCTTTTCAAATAATGGGAAAATGAACATATCACTACATGCCATAGACCATTTTTCTTTCTTGCACTGGTCCCAAATAGGCTGAATTTCCTCTTCCATGCATTTTCAACATCCCTGTGTGGCATTACCTCATCGCTTTGCAAGCCCACAATTTCCCTGGGTTTGCAGTGAAATAGGGAATCAATGGCAATATTACAATATTGATCGTGATATCCTGCTATATATGCTATGCTTGAATGTGGTTGCATCAAATTTTTATGTGTAATGTTTGTATAAAAAATTTTTCTGCTATCTAACTGCCTCGTTCTCAAAGGAAAGCAGCAGCATTGTAAAAATATAACAGAAGATTTAGATGTCAACAGTTCAAGGCATGGCACATTTGTCATGTTCGCTCATTTTCCGTTTCGATTCTAATCCACATTTTGTAGGATGTCCAATTGTAAGACATAGCTTGCTTCAGTGCAGTAAGCAGGCATAACCAGAACAAAGTGGCTTCAAGTTCACCAGCACGTGCCAATGCTTCATGCACACAACCATATCCACACCCACCCACTTGCCCGTTCACGTGCATATGCGCAAACACACACATGCACCATTTGTGATCTAATCGTGAAAGTACATTAGGGCCTCCAAGATTTATCTCAGAAATTAACACTCATATTACGATTACGGGCGATATTGACAATCAGTCAATCTGGCAACAGGGTGCAGATACGTGCACAGGAGTTTGCGTACCCACTCGATTGCCTTCCATGACATCATGGGGGGGAGCACCTGTTCTTCTGGGTAGCAGAGTGAAAAATCTGTTCACAACATCCGCACTCAATGTTCTCTAATGGGCCTTTGTCACCTTGAAATATGCATGAGCCCCAATTGTACGTTCCAGATTCAATTGTATACCTCATCCATATATTTTTTAAAAATGATAAAGCCTGCCCAGACAAGGAAGAGAAGAAAATTACAATGGAATACAGCATCAACACAGTCACTGTAGCTTACCAGGAAGCCTGGCAAAGGTGGAAAAGCAGCTTCCTCCAGATCGAACTTGGGAGCTTCAGCTTCTTCCCTTGATTTGCCGCAATCTGCATTGCTGCTGTCCTGATAAAATAGACCAGCACATTCCGGTTTACTTGCGTAATGAACACACTCATAATAAACACACCCCCAATTTCAGCCGTCAAAATTTGTTTTTTTTTTTTTTACCTCTGCATAATAAACACAACCTCTACATTCCGTTGCAGCCCTGCTAACTGACACATGGCGCCGCCTAGCCCGTTGGATCTCTTTCATTTTTTATTATTATGCCGACCCCCGCCAGCCAACTTGGCACCTTATTGTTTTTGCACAGAATGTCCCTAGTCTCCTTTATCTTTGTGTACAGTGGGGTTCACGAACGGTGCGACTGTTGAAACATCGCAGCCGACAAGCACACAGCAAGCGAAGGTCACGAAACTGCCCGTGCCAGCCAACAGTCTCTTACTGCAAATACGAAACTTTACGACCCAACATGCAAGCGATATTAGATGCCGACAACAGGATTCGCTGTCGCCATGGCTGTCACAAAGGGCCATTAGCTGCCATCATGTCGCAGGTTTCTGGAAAACCGGAAGAAATCTCTCAAGGCCCACAAAATATCGTGACTAATTCTGCAACATGGTAACACCCTTGACTTTCACTTCAATTGCAATCTGCTCTTCGTGCTCATCTGCCATGCGTACTTGAAGGAACGCAAGGTATACAGTTAAGCCTGGATATAACGAAATTGATGAAGTCTCGGAAAAATTAGTTATAAAGAGGATTTTGTTATATGCAAGTTTGGTACAAAAATACGGAAAATAAACGCGCAAATTTGGCAAGAGGGGTACTGAAGGAGAGCTACCCAAAACACTTATTTTACAGTAAAAAAAACTTATTATTGTGATAGCAATTACATGGACACACTCGGCGGGTTTTTTCCATTGTCCCCATGTTCCGTAACAAGTCCAAATTGATGAATTGAAACTCATTTTTTTTGTGCTTCTCACCGTAGATACAATTCACCGACGTCGTTAATTTGAGATATTTCAATTTTTCTAGAAATTTATTGTGCCTATAATTATGATTTTGAGAGCCTAAAACAGTGTTTTACCTGCCTGTCTTTGGTGCCTAAAACACACTTTTTTAGTGCCTAAAAATCTAGCCTCTAGTCTGATATCAACCAACGAACATAAGTGAAGTGCAACAAAGAAGCCGTTTCTAAATAGTGTACGCATATGTCAATCACAAAAGGCTAAGCGACCTAACTTTTTTTTTTTTTTTTGCATTACCGGATTTTTCGCTCAGCCCTAGAAGGTTTTCATAAAATGCGCTCCACATAACAAAGGCACCCCGAACTTTGCTCCAATTTTTGAGAAAAAAGAAAGTGCGTTCAATATCTGAGTAAATACCGTATCTAAGGCTGTATGCACATAAAGTGGATTGAAAAATTTAACTGGTAAAATACTCACTGCTTTGTTGGAGCCATTTTCTTCTTTTTTCCTCCGTCGCATTCGGCTGCTAAGGAGAGAAAAAGAGAGCAAAAGAACAAGCAGTAGTAAGTTGACATAGAAATCTGCTCACCCCCTTAAGGTGGAACATAGCACGCAAAATAATTTCTTGATCAGTTTTGACGCAAGTTCATGAGTGTATATGTATATCTTGGAGCATGTTATTTTCTTAACGAAGAGTAGCAGCATAAATCAACAAATCACAACAATAATTATGAATTGGAACTGTCAGCAGTATAACAAAAATGAATGTTCTGAACTTGTTTGAAAAAAAAAAAAAATTATGGTATATTGAACATTTGTGGGTGTGTCGATTTCAAGCTAGGACCTCACTCGCAAATGTTGAACCTAACGCAACTTTTCTTCAAATGAGTTTAGAACATCCATTTTTGTTGTACTGCACAACAGTTCTGATTCACTCTGCAACTCTGCTTATAAAAAAAAATTGCTCTCAAAAAGGTACATAGAATATTTGGCATTCTTGAAAATACAGTCCACTGCCGACATTTCGAACCCCCGAATTTTCGGACATGCCTGATAATTCCGACATCTTCGCGGCACCACCACGAGCCCCATAGAATCAATGTATAAGGAAGTCTAAAATTTCGGACGCTTGAACCCCCCTAAGTCCAATTTTCCGGACTTTTTGACGCGACGGAAGGTCGGAAACTACAACTGACCTCCGGTGGAAACCACCACAACTGCCTCACACGCGATTACGATCGCATAAATGAGCGAGCCGCTCTACTGTGGTGGCATCTGTTGCTTGGACTCGTTGATCGTTAGTGGAGAAACATACACGGCCTCCGAGATTCCTAACACTGGCCGTGTTTATCGTGCAAGGGTGCTTCGCTGACAATCGAAACTATCCACCTGGAAATTTTTTGGCGCCAATAAAGTTCCTTTCGCTTTAGCGCTTGTGCGTGCCACTCTGGCTTCCCGTGCAGCGCTTTCGCGAAGCCTTTCACCCCTTCGCACTAGAACTAACCATCACACATTGATTTGGTCTGGCCACGCTGGCTATCTTAAATGTTTACTAGCGCCACCTCCGGAGTAACCAACGCACTGTCGCCTGCCGTCGCGCCTTTTTGTTTACGTAGCCCACATGGTGTTTGGCTAGCCTAGTGCGTGGTTGTGCGATTGTGTGAAGTGTGCTCTGCAACGCTAAGCCTAGGTGCTTCGACGCTCGTCAGCAAACTCCTTTGTTCACATCGCGAGAATTTCGCTTGCCTGCGATGGCCCCCACTCCGCCTTCGTCGTCCTCGCCGATGGCATCGAAGCGCGGAAAACAGTACCGTCGGTTAACGATGAAGAAAAAAAGCCGCCATTATTAAGTTAGTGAAGAGTGGCCGATCGCAGGCTGACGTTCGTCGACGCTGACAACGCGCTCGATTTCTACGCACAGCTAACTGACGACGAAATAGTCAGGTTATGGCGGATTCAGACGACTCCGATGTCGAAAAAGAGGAAGCAACGCCTGCGCCATCTACGACCGCCAAATCGATGCAAGCATTGATGACGCTGTCATCAGTGTACAGTGATGACATGACCCTTGCTCAGATTGGGGCGAATGTGATCACATGCAAGCAGAACGCCCTTCAAAGAATAATCAACAAGTTTTTCAAGCCACTGCAGCTCAAACACCGGCTGCCCTGATGGCACCCGCTGTCGGCTGCATGCATTTTTTTAACGGCTCTTTTCAGAGCCATCCCACTGATGCTTTGGCTAGTTCCGGAAGTCTGGTACTTCGACCTTGACCCTCTTGATCCGAGAAGTATCAATGAAATGGTTCGTTTTTTTTTTCCTTGAATTGAAAATTATCAGTAAAATAATGCGTTTTTTTGCTTGGATTCATTTTTTCGGACTGCCCAAATTTTCGGACGGTTTTTCGCTCCCTGTAGGGTCAAAAAAATCAGCAGTTTACTGTACATAATTATACAAAAAAAATAATAGCATACTTGAAATCAGCACACAAATAAACAAACTCACAAGTTTCATAAAAACTGATTAAGGAACAAATTATTTTCAAGAGCAGCATCCCGATTAGATTTTTTTTTTTTTTCATGCATAAGAAATGTACCATAAGTTAGTGGGTGTGTATGTTTGGCTCACAATGTCACGGCAGCCTCGACTAGCACCTGGCAGCATTTTCTAAAAAGTGTTCCAGGGCTCCTTTAAGGCCTTTTTAGTATGCGACACAGTTGGTTCAGGTATATAACATAATTAGTTGGAAGAAGAGTGAGCAATTTCCAGCCGAATTCAAACTTTATTTGCAATTTACCTGTAGTGTGTTGCGTCATAATGTATGGTTCACACGAGAGCCTCGACTTATTGTTGCTGTGTCCCAGCAGCAGTAAACCAGGTGCTCCGGGCAGAGGCCGAATGGAACACCAACGATGCTTTACCGTGGTTTATCACTGTTGCACCCACTTACGAGCAGTGAGCGCAATGGCGTCCTCACCGCAGATACCAAAGGTGCCTAAATCTATAAAAATTTGCCCTTCGGCTCCCTCCCAGAGCTTTACATAGCAGAAACATCGATAGATGCTGGTTGAGCGTGGGAAGACATTACTACACAACAGCACAGCTGCAATCGGTCAAAAGTAGCGTCCTGCCTCGCATGGCGAAGCCTAAACAATATTTGGAGAAAAAATAAATAAATGACCGAATACACAACCCCACACATAGAATAGAAACGTGTTGACATTGTTCGAAAAAAATAATTTAGTACGTCACTACTCGGAGCCCCATCACTGACAGTAAATCTCGAAACTGTTTTTTTTTTTTGTTCACTCAAATTTCATACCCAATGTTTTCCCCCTGACAAGCTGAAAAATTGCCGACATAAAAGCTTCGAGGTACAGTCAGCCAAATCTGGCTATCGTGCATGAGTGGCAGTTTTTCTCTGTATCTTTGCCACACAACTTTCTTAAGTTTCAAAAAAGGTGAGCAAAGCGTATGCCCACAAGGCACACATCTAAGGAGATGTTTTGTAACTTCATTCCATAACATGGCGCTGAAAGACAAAGCAGTGGCCGCTGCGCACAATAGTTCCAGTTTTCACCGACTGTACAGTTGATCCCAAACAAGATGCACTGGTGCAATAGGCTACTTCGTATAGGAAACACCAGTGCACATAAATCGAAATTGGGGTTTGATCAGAAAATGAGAAGATAATTTTTAACATACACGGGAAAAAAAAAAAAAGGAAGGGGCAGAAAACTCAATCGTGCAGCTACTGCGTAGCAGAAAGATGTGAACTACAATTGTGCTCCGGCATAGCTTCACGGACATCGAAGAAACTACGAGGTGTGTGTGGACTTCGGCCCCCAGGTCATCGATGTCTGCGACTTGCTCCGAGAGCATACATGTTGTGGACTATGACGGTGCTAGGGCAAACATTGATGCTATCAGAAGACCAGAGAGCACGAGAGCTGCCTTCACAGCATCATTTCACTGCAGCTCATTTCTATGCACCAACTTACTCTTGGTACTTTTGTGAAGAGCCACTGCCGCCTCCAGAGTCCTTGCCCATGTCTCCCTTTGGACTTCCCCTAGAGTAAAGGGAGTAGAGAGAGTTGCCGGAATCCCGTTTGGAGCTGCCGCCAGACGCGGGCAAGAACTCCTGAATGTATGCAGGTGGGGGTCCTCCACCGCCGCCTCGGGAAAGCGGGAAGGCAGGTGGACCGGCTAGGTAAGTTGAGGGGTAGCCAGGGCCTAGGAGGCTGCCACTGTGCCGCTCATAGAAGCCCCGCGAGTCGCCATCGTAGGAGGCCCCACTAGTCCGCAGGTAGGACTTAGACGAACGGCCACCACCCCCCTGCCACAGAACAGGAAAGCCGTGACGACCTGTGCCACCCGTCCCATTCAGCGGCTTGTAGGTTGCCTGGGGTGCCAGGCCGTTCATCGAGAACACCTGTGTGCCAGCAAAGTAATGGATATTAGAGTCTCTGAAAGAACACGTCACCCTCACAATGAAACAACAGTGGCACATGCACATACACACTGAAAGAGCACTTCTATATTACTGCGGTGGTTTGATATTTCTGCTAATGGAGCAGTCCACAATGCCTAACAATAGCATTTGCACACGCACCTAAGCACATGCAACATTAAAGCATCAAATTATCGTGCAGTAAGAAGCAACATATGCTAAAATGAAGGGCTGCCAACCAGGCAGTGAAAGGCCTTAAAGAAACTAGAAAGCTGCGTTTTTTTTCTTGCTGCCCCTTGCAAAGGCAAAATAACAGAGCAGGGATAACATGCACAGGGATGGCAGGCAGGAGGGACAAAACTGAGGGATCTAATGCAGCCATGTGACGAGGAAAGACTCACCGTTCCCAGGTCAAAACACGTGGGAGTGGCGGGTGTCCAGGTCTGCAGCATAGCTGGAGGGTAGAAGGGCGGGTACAACTGGGCAGTACCCGGTCCAGCACTGTTGCTGCCCGCACTAGCTGGACCGTAGTTCACCTGCACACAACGTTACTTCTTTCTAAGCATCCTGAGGTGCATTCACAGACATTTTCCATGCCTTACAAACTACAGTGAAACCTCATTTATGCGTACCTGCCGGAGATGGCAGCATAGCTACGCACTAAACGTACTGCGCATTAAGCACCAGCTTTAAGTTTGCATCTTCTGATGTGGGCCATCGCTGCCAATAAAGGAATAATTACTGTGCCAAATATTATCCAAGTGTCTACCACAAAATGATTTCTTTTTTTTCAAAGTGCAGAAAAGATTTTGTCTGTCACTCTCACACAACCGTCCGATTGCACGCGGTGGTGACGCCATGCTGTATTTCCAAACTACATGTTGTGTCTGGAATAAGCAGCTACCATAGCGAGAATTGATATAACCAGCTGTCGGCGACATGCGTTTCGCAGTCTGCTTCTAAGCAAAAATAAAACTGGCGCAGTTTTTTCGATACGCGATACGGCTGCAGGAGAGCCATACTGTCTACTGGCTAGTTGCGTGCAGCGCTTCGCCTAGTCGGCACATGCTGTGACTGCTGATCCGCTTGCTGTAGAATACGCCTCCTCCACTTCAGACCATGCAGAGATGCGGGGATGACGAGCTTTCTGCAAGCGATGTGCACTCTGTGATGTTCTTGCAGTCCTGGCTGCAGACGGAGGCACGTTTGAGCTGGTGTCTAATAAATGCGTTCAGTATGGTTACAACAGCGCTACACATGCTTTACCGCGCACTTGTTAGCCTCAATACTAGAAGGTTTCTTGGTGCCTGCGACCTGGAACGCTGAACTCCCCGACAGCGAGCTGCTGGCGTTACTGCAAAGCGCTGCGCGCTTGAACACTATCCCACAAAACGAGGTGGCAACGAACGCGATGACCCAGCATGTGCAGCGCCTATTAAAAGCGTGCAGTAGACTCAAAGCACTGCTACGCCATGCGCCTGACCAGATAGCTGGGGATGTGACAAGGCTTGTTGTAGGCAATAAGTTATACCAGTGTGTTTGTCGGTGGTTGCCGCCTTGCCTTCAGTTTTTAATATGATTATCCGCAAAGGCATCGCCGCAATCACGCGGAACTTAAAGATCTTAACGGCCAATCTTTGCATGTATCAAGATGACTGAAAACTAGGCTTGTGCGAATATTCAAACGAATAGTTGAGTATTCCAATTCACTTCGATTTGAATTCAAACTATCGAGTAATGAACGAATAGGTGTATATTAGTCCTCATCTGCTTGTAAAAGTGGTGTCCCAGCAATGCAGGAGTGCTAAGCCGTGCGTGAAAGCACCTATTCAGGGGAAATGCGTGTTGCCGCAAAGCCCCCTTTCAAATTTAAAGGGCCCAAACCATTTTTTTTTTTCGTTGGTAACCTGTGCTAAAACATAATAACAAAACAATTATATTCAGAGTCGTGATTGAAGTCATACTAGAGAACAGACTTGAATGAAACACATCGTTACTCCCTTCAGAAATGAACCATGCAAGATTTGTTGGAAAAGGCCTCCTTCAATAGAACATTACTTGTTCAAAACTCTCCTTCCTCCCCACCATCGTTTTAACTGTCCAGGCCCTTGTCGGCGAATAAACTTCGTGGCTGTGACCCACTAGAGGAGGCGAGCTTGAGGCCTCTGCTGTATACAGAATCAAGGACGCCAACCCACCTGCAGTGGCCCCTGGTAGAAAGTGGATGCCTGTGAGGTCTGCTGAGGCGCCACAGGTGTGCTGGCGGCAGCTGGTTGGCTGTTGCTAAGAGGCTGTGCCGAGACTCCCCCTGGTGCAGGCCCACTGGTGGCAGCCTGAACAGTTGCTGCCGCAGGGGCACTACCCAACCCCTCCCCTCCAGCCATGAGATGAGGAGGCTGGTGCCGCAAACCATTCTTGTATGGTGGCAGAAATGAGGCTCGCGAGATGGGCTTGGCTTTGATGCGAGCCTGAAAAAAAGAAAGAATTGCTCTTTCACTCTAGCAATGAACCAATTAAGTTCTGAAATTCCCAAGACAAATCCATTTTACCATTAGAAGACCACCACAGTGCAGGGCTGAGGGTCAATACAGAGAAGTCTAGGAGGTTACGGAATTTATACTGTGTGACGCCTGGTTTATTTTTTTTACTCTTCTACCACACCATATTGTGCATGTTAATGCAGTGCCTTTTCCACAGCAGTTTCAAGCACTGGTATAGCTCTCTGGTGGCCCAAGTTCAAACCCCGTTTCAGTTTGAATACTTGTTCTTATTTGCTTTTTCGTTCTTATTTTGTACGATAACGATTGCGGACACCTGTGGCAACAGACAATTACAGCACCCTTGTTTCGAGATCTCAGAACAGCTTTCGCAGTTATAGGCATGAATGCCATTCAAGACTCCTAATAATTGCCGAATTAGAAAAAAAAGTTGCCGACTTAGCATCGGGAGCAAATAAGTAAGTAAGAGGGCAGGAAACCAGACTTACCATAATGGGCTTTCCTTGGAAAGAGCGCACTTCTTCACGCAGGTACCTGTACGCCTGCTGTGCATCCTCATCCGACTCAAAGGTCACATACCAGCTACTATTGTGGGCAAATTCGCAGCTCATGAACTGCGGGCACTTGTCACTGGCCTTGAATAGCGCCTCAATGTCCTGTGAAGAGGCAATGGCGATCAATGAATGACTTCCTCACAGACACTTCTGCGGCATGGGCAAGCCAAGTGCACTTACTTTGACAGGAGTGCTCTCTGGTATTTCTCGAAGAATCAGGACACAGCGTTTGTGGTTTGGGCGCACTTTTTCGCCAGCCTCATCTACTTGCACGTTGGGGGATTCTAGAGGGGAAAATACCACAATAGATCAGCTAGACTGATTGCGCCCCCTGAGTGATCCTCCCAAGTAGGCTTAGAAAAGCAAGTGCACGTGCAAGAGCTCGAAAAGGTGCAACAGTCAAAGAAGTTGTGGCATAAATAAAAAATTGTAAATAGATGGAATGGTCAAAGCATCACACAATGTTTGCCAAGTAGCTACATCTGTTTAGAATTGCCAAAAACAGGGTAGAACCAAAATTAATGTGCTTCTGGTAGCATGCCTGTCAGACTACAAAATGTGAAGTACGATTCTGTGCTGAGGTGTACTTACACAAGATATAAACAGTATATATAATATGCACAGTATTATTTTCCTTTGCCCCCTGACCCACCCTCATTTGATAAAATTTACCATGTACACTAAAAAATTCTACAATGTACACTCATAACTGAGAGCACCTGGTTTTTGTTGCTTCTAGCATAAGTTGGCCCAGTGTGATTACAATGTATTGCAATATCGAACCAGACCTACTAGACATTCAACACAATGAAACAGCAGCATTTTTCAGAAGATGACAATTTGGAAGCTGCACTGGTGCTCTAGGCAAGCTGCAAATAAAGCTCATGGAGCCACGACTGAAGCACCACAAGCAAATGCAAATTACTGAGTACCTTTAAGGGGGGACGCGGCACTTCGGGACCGAAAATCAGCCAAAAAATCGAGTTTTCGCGGACCTTCTTTTCGCGTTCCCGACATCATTGCGCACCTATTTACAAAATTTCATAGCCGAATACCATCAACTTTTATCGTTATTCAACTTCAAAAAACCGAAAACGGGCGTCCTGCCCTTTAAATTGAGGGCGAATAGCGCAGGTTTCGCCTCTACGATACGCGGGAACTACGCGCTCGATCGACGCCATTTTGGTCTTGTTTGAAAGAACGCGTTTTCAGCTGTTTTTTTTTTATTCAGTAAGCAACATTGAGCGTTTCCCCGGCTCGAAAAACGGGGCCTCAAAAACGAAGAGCCGCGCTCACTGCCATTGGCTAAACGGCGCACGTGACTGAAATGGCGCTTTCCGGTTGGCTGGAAGCTCGCGGCTTGCGCCTGCATACGCGACCCGACGCCATTTTGAAAGGGTTACCGCTGTGACGCCTCGAAATCGGCAGAGCACTCTGAAGCTTCTGATCGTATCGCCATGCCTGGAAACGCAAAAAAGTATCGGACCGTGCACGCATTTGGTCGCAGGAAATGCAAAGGTAGTGGGAGAAAGTCTACGAAGTCATCAGGGCCCTTGGTTGACTCCGACGAACAATGTGTCGACGCTCCGCGGCCGTTCAGCGATGGTGCGACCGAGCGCGTTGCCTCCGACGACGATGACGGTGAAGCGAACTCCGGACGACTACGAATCGACGCCAAGGTGGTGACAAACGCCGAAGTTGAAGAAAATCATGCCCGGGAGAAAGCGACGCTCGACTGGCTTTCATCGGCGCCAGCAACTGCACGGAAAATTGACTTTTTCACCGCAAGTTGTAGCGAGGCAACCGCACAGGACTCGGACCACGCTGCTCCTTATCTGCTTATGCATCTAGATATCCTAAACGCGATAATGGGTGCCTTGTGTTGCAAAGCCTGCCACGGACTGGCTACGATCGTCAGAGGGGATCGGGACTACGGGCTTGCCGTGAAAGTGCTAGTGCAGTGTGAAAGGTGCGGCGAGATCGCGAATGAATGGACTTCGCCCCGCACGAACGGCACGAAAACGTGCAATCCGTTTGAAGTAAATCTTCTCGCTTCGAGGGCGATGGTGGCTACCGGCAACGGCCAAACGAAAATGAATGATATTTTCGCAACAATGGGCATCTCACACCGCGGTATGCACCACAAGACGTTTCAGCGGCATTTGAAGAAAACGCTGGCACCCGCTGCAACGCGAGCGGCTGAGTCCGCTATGAGCGAATGTGCGGAAAAGGTTAGAACAATTTATGATGACTTGTGCTTCGGCCACCGGGGCAATATTGCCGTTAGCTACGACGGCACGTGGAAGACGCGAGGCCATTCTTCCCACATCGGCGTGGGCACAGTTATCGAATTATTTAGTGGCTACGTGTTGGACTACGTTGTTCTTTCCAACTTTTGCCTAGGCTGCGAGGTGGGCCCAAAGCCTAGTAGTGAGGGCTATCAAGAATGGAAGGCTAACCACAAATGCCAAAAAAATACGAACAGCAAAGCGGGGCAAATGGAAGTGGAGGCGGCTCTAATTCTATTTCAGAGGTCGCTTGAACGCCATGGCCTGCGCGCTACACAACTATGCTGTCTGATGGAGACTCTAGGACATTTTGCGCCATACAAGACGCCAAGGTGTATGGTTACATTGACGTGCAGAAGGAAGACTGTATTAATCATGTACAGAAACGGATGGGCACCGCATTGAGAAACCTGGTGCAGAAACAAAAGTGCGATGGGAAAAGAGGCCTTGGTGGGAAAGGCAGGCTCACAGGTGAGCTGATCACCAGGCTGAGCACATATTATGGCCGGGCTCTGAAATCGCATGAAGGTGACGTGGGTGAGATGCAAAAGGCTGTGATGGCCACATACCGCCACGTCACCTCCACTGATGAATGCTCGGACCACAGTCTGTGCCCAGCTGGTGAAACTTCATGGTGTCGGCACAATGCCGCAAAAGCAAAGGGTGAGCCCGACCCCAGGCATGCCTACAATCTACCGAAAGACGTGGCAGAGGCATTACTACCGGTTTATACCCGGCTTTCGGAAAGAGCCCTGCTTCAGAGGTGCGAACGCGGCAAAACGCAGAACTCCAACGAGAGCCTACATTCGGTAATCTGGAGTTTGGCCCCCAAGGAGCACCATGCGTCCCTGCTCGCTGTTGAAGCAGCTGTTGCAGAAGCAGTGCTGCGCTTCAACACGGGCAATTTGAATTCTGCAACGGCAATCTTAGGTGAAATGGACATGAATGCGACAAGTACTGGTGCCAGGAGAGCGAGAGAAAAAGACCACCGTCGCAGCATTGTCTCCAACAAGAAAAGAACAGCCTCATTGGAACTCCGGAAGCTAGTGAAGAGGAGGCATGAGCACAGAATGCATTCAGACTATGCTTCTGGTGCGTTTTGAGGTTGTCTTGTTGCGTCTTCTGCAATAAAAATGTGTGCCCACGTTTTTTCTCGATTTCTCAAAACGACAATTTTCATGTGCTTCCCATTATGCCGGAGCAATATCTCTTGTTCTATCTGGGTTATCATTACGATTTCTTTTTTGTTTCGAAGATAAATGCAGGGGATGTGTCGTAAAGTAAGTTTTATTGTAATAATTTTTGGAGAAAATTCTCTAAATGGATCTTTTGTTTCAAGTGTAGATGGGGAAATTTTTCATGTCATATTCAACATCCCACAACTTTGCTTCGAAATAGCCCAGAACAATGATTTATACTTTATTGCACACTGTGAACATACCGAATTGGTTCTATAGGTTGCACATCAATATCCAAGTTACAGTTAATTAGCTAATTAGGCCTTAATTGAAAAAGTCGCAGTTCATTATATCTTTAAAACTAATTGTCACAGCAAAAAAAGAATTAGATTTTTGAAATCAGCAGTAAAATCTACATAGGCTCTCCAAATTTGACTGAGGTACTTGCAAAAATAAAAGAGTTTTTGGAAGGTGTAGCATCCCCCCTTAAGGGGGGGCGCGGCAAGTAAAGTGCCGATTTTGGTCAAAATATGCGATTTTCTGATTTATTTTTTTTCGTAATCTTCAGACCTTCAACTTCCTTGTTCTAAAATATTACAGCGAAACGTGCGCCACAAATCCCGCAAATAGTGTTTTTGCCGAGGCTAGTCGCCGAAAAGTGCGAAAAAAAAGCCCCTGAAACGGTGTTGTTCACGCCGCACAAACGCGCCAAGTTGTTGACCGTGGGCCGCCATTTTGGTAGCTTTGGAAAGAGGAGAAAGCCGGCTTCCCGATGGTCGCGGTCTCGTATTTCGCCGAGTGAAAATAAAAACGCGAGGAGCAAGTAAAAAAACGAAAACGAAGAACGGCAATTGGCTGCGCGGGTCACGTGGTAGCAGGCGCGACCTCTTACTGGTCAAAGCTGCGCCGCGCACCTTGGCAACCTTGGAAGCGCGAGCGCATCTGCGGCCGCCGTGTCGAGAATCATCCGGCGTGCGCTTCGTTTTTTGCCAGTTTGCTGTTTTTGTGATAGTTCGCGTGCTTTTTTTACCAAGCTTTGTTACATCGGTGGTCTCTTCTGAGTGCTTGCTCATACTGCGGTGCTATGTTGCCGCAAAAAAAGTTCCGGAGCGTCCACAAGTACGGCAAGCGTCGGAAAGCTTGGAACAAAGGGCAGACGACTGCGGCTGCCGTCCCAGTCGCAGTTCCGGACGGAGCATGCTCTTCAAGCGTCACGGAGCCTCTACTCGGACCCTTCGCTGATTGTTGTGAGGCCGAGAGTGTGGAAGGTGCCACATCGTCGTATGTCAGACCGCCGGATGCCGTCGACCGTGATGGACGCTCTCGCGAACCCGATTGCGGTGGCACCGCGTCGGCAGCCGTTGCAACTCCGGGCGTGCGCGCGTCGAACATTCTATCGCGAGTTTCGGCCCAGATTCTGAGCAGTGAAGAAATCGCGCAGCGGGCGCAGACAAGGCGGGATGTTTTGGATGCCGTAGCATCGAAGTCCGCTTCAAAGCGGAAGCTCGAGCTTCTGAACGAAGGCTGCGACGAAAATGACGGCGGTAAGGACTCCACATTCTTCATTGTAAATAAGAATATGCTGAACGGTCTGCTTTCGTCAGTAAAGTGCAACAAGTGCGACGAAGGGTCGATACGCCTCGAGACTACGCACTGCCTTGGACTCGCGGCGAGGATGGAACTTTTTTGTGACAATTGTGGCAGAGTGAACAGTGCGTGGTCGTCCCCGAGGTGCTCCGGGCAACAAAAAACGAACCCCTTTGAGGTAAACGTGCGTGCTTTGAGGGCTGTGCAGTCAGTTGGCAGAAAACAATCTGC